CACAGCAGCCGCCCTTGTAGTAGACGACGAAGAGGAGGAAGGGTGAGCCAGCAGCCCAAACCAGCAGCAGCATCGCCAGACCAGAAAGGAGCACACCCAGTCCACACAGGTACCCCTAGGGAGGGGACAGGGCCTAAACCCGAAAAGCCCAAAGGGAACAGGGGCCGTCAAGAAAGGATGCCACGTGAAATTCAAGAAAGCGTGAGGCATCACGCGCACACGAAAGGTATAAAATGCGAAAACACCCGGGCCGGCATCAGCAGCCCTAGTAGAGCATAAACGCATTCGGCGAGAGGCCAAAGCGCACCTCATTTGCACACAGGGCTCCTAAGGGGAGGGAAGGGCCTAAACCCGAAATAAAAAGCCCAAAAGGAGAGGATCAGCCTAAAGAAACGAGCCCACACCAGCAGCAGCAGTGCCAGGCAGGAGCCAGGCAAGCAGCGCTCGGAGTGGTTCGAAGCACACACCCGGTAGAAGCGGATGGGCCATAGCAAGGTCAGCAAAAGATTGTTACAAGAAACATCCCAGAATCAGGGACTCCCGCCGGCAGCAGCATCGCCACACAAGGAAGCATTGCCGCGCTCAGCAGAAGGGCCTGAGCTCACGCAAGATGCACAAGAGTACCCCGAGGGGAGAGGGGCCTAAACTAAACCCAAGAAACCCAAAGGGGAGGCAAGGGCATCGCGGAGCCACGGAGGCCTGGGAAAGCGAGCTCCACACAATAGCAGCAGCACCACGCAACAAGCGAGGCCGCGCTCATGCATAGAGGAGTTTACGCCAGGTGCACACCGGAAACTCTAGGGGAGAGAAGGGGCCTAAACCCGAGCAAACCCGAAGGGGAGAGGGCAGGGAGTGAAAGTTCGTTCCGCCCGGCACATGAAAGCACAAGCAGCACACACACGAAAGACATACCAAGGGCAATCAAAGAATTGAGGAGCCAAAGGTAAGTAGTCATAGAGCATTCTGGTGCGGCCAAACTAGTCAAGGCCCAGCCCCTGCGGGCTCAGCATCATCAAGGGGAACACTTTTCACATGTTTGTCCAGCTTCTCGGCAGCAGCTGCCGCAAGTCTGACGGTAGCCAGCTCCCAATCCCGAGCCTGCTCACACTGTTGATGCCATCGCTCCCGGAGAGAGCCCAAGAGCCTGTTTTGCATGCAATTGCCCGCCGCCTGATCTGCAGCATGGTTAAAGGCGCGGAGCACATCCGCATCGTGATCCGGCGAAGGCCGCCAGCGGGGGTGCTTATTGTGTGACGGCACCCAAATCAAGGAGATAGCACAGCCGCGCCTCACCAGTTCCTTCCAGAGACGGCGCGCGTCCCTCAGCAAGAGGCCCAACTTAAAGGGATCATCACCATGGCCCGAGATGGCCGTCAGGGCAGCTTTGCAGTCGGTCAAGATGAAAATGCACGTCTCGCAGCCCTCACTCCACACCCGGTGGACCGAAGCAAAGGCCGCGTGGAGGGCCAGAACTTCCTGCCGATACGGGGATTGATCCTCTGCCCCAGTGCCCATGGCATAGACACAAGACGGATCGCCGATCACCACCGCATAAGCACCGACAGATCGATGGCTGGAGCCATCAGTAGCCGCATAAATCCTGCTCCTGCCAGAGCCGAGGGCAGCACGGAAAGCAGCATCCAAGTCCGCCCGAAAAGCCCCACAGTCAGAGGCGGCAGGCGCCGGAGGTTTCAAGGGAGTCGACTTGGCAAACATGCGCTCCTCCGCCCGATTCGTCGGAGGGGGGTGATCCCGCCGGAGCGCCTCGGTGCACTCGCAAACCCAGGTCACATGCGGTCGCGACGGAGCAGTCGCTCCGCAGAGGCACTGCATGCGCCTATGCTGCTCGTTCAAACCCTGCCCGGCCGTAAAGAACCAGCACGAGCCTCCCGTGACAGCAGCAGCCCGTCTCATATAAGGAGTGGTCGCCTCATGCATGGCAACGCGGTGCCCACGAAAGCTGAAGCGCGCATCCCGCGACGGAGGTGCCAGATCCAGGCCGCGTGCAAGGCTCGGGTCCGGCCTATGAAAGCTCCGCCAGACGCGCTGGCATCTCTGCATGTAAAGGTGCCGGTAATGGTCAAACAGCCAGCCCTTAACCTCAGCAAAGCTCTCCCATCCGACCTGCACCTCACGAGAGATCCCTAAGTCATCACGGCAGGCGAAAAAGAAGCCATCAGGGCGTTCAACAACGCTCCACCCCAATTTGCGAAGGAGGCCAGGCGCAGCAGGCAACAGCTGATCCCAGCGCTGGCCCCGGGCATCACGCGGCTGCTCCAGAGCAAAGGCCGGAGGCTTGCAGAGGAGGCGCCAGGCCTCGCGGAGCACAGCAGAGTCAGCAGCGCACTGTGGCTCCAGCATCCACCCCACATGTTCGAAGATCAGGACACGCGGGGCTTCAAAGGAAAATTGACAGTCAAAAACACGAATCGCAGCATCTCTAACTTGCTTCATCTCGCCTGCCAGTGGCGTGGCATAGGCAGCGGCCCACACCAAGCACGGGTAAACAAGTGATTTCAGCATGAGGGCCCGCAGTCGACTGCAAGCGGTCACCCAGCGCAAAAGGTCCATGCGCAGCAAAGCTTTTCTCAAGGAAAATTTCAGCAAGCCCCATTCATCATTAAAGGAAACAGTGACACCTAAGACTTCAAGGGTTTGCGAAAACTGATAGTTGAATCGGGCAGCCAGAGCAGAGGCCTCGACATGACCCTCCGGCGCCACGATCGCACACTTTGGCAGGGAAATTTCAAGACCACAAGTGGCATCGAATCGGTCGGAGCGCCGAATCGCATGCTCCAGGTCGCCAAGATCCGCAGAGAAAGTCCAGAAGGACCGGTCGTCCAGGTAGACCAGGCCTGAAACCCCTTGCCTCAACACAGCCAAGGTCCAAAGGTGGCTAAATGCGGCAGCAAGGGTGGGACTTAAGGGACAACCCTGAGCTATACCCAAGCGGGGCTTAAACCAGGCATCACTGTATGCACCATCAAGTTGGACGATGCGCGAAGCTCGCGTGTAAAAGGCCTTCAGCAGCGGCCAAAGAAAAGGCGGCGCTTTCAAATGAGAAAGGAGGACCTCTAGGGCTTCAAACTGGATGGCATCAAAGAACCCCGCAATGTCCTGTTGAACCGCAACGTTAGCGCCACCGCGCATTGCAGCATTCAGCTGAAGCAGGGCACCCGACACCGACGTGCCCGGGATGCCACCGGCATCCGACGGAGAGCTCCAAGAACCTATCCAGTCGGAGAGTTGGGCATTCAAAATCCTTGCTCCCGCACGCCAGACAGCTTGAGAGATGGTTAACGGCCTGAAGCCCCCCTTGATTTTCTTAATCATCACCACACGTGCCTGTGCCCACTGGGCGGGGACGTCACAACAAGCAAGGCACCGATTCCACAGCTGGGAGGTCCACACCCACCAAAGATCAGGCATGGAACATAGCAGTCCAGGTTTCCACGCATCCGGCCCGGCAGCACGGTGCCTCATGGACTGCATTGAGCGTCGGAGAGCCTCTGGCGTGATGTTAGGCACGACCTCCGAGCTTGCGGGGCGCGGCAGGGGCCGCAACAGATCACGCATGGCCTGCATGTCAACCGCCCTAAAGGACGCGGGACAGAGCTTCGCCCGCAGGTCCTTTGCCACAGCTGCAACCGCGACCGCCGGATGTGCAGGGTCGCCCGGACTGGCAACATCCGGAAGCTGACGCTCCCAAGCAAGCTGCTCATCAGCGCGCCGCTTCACAAAAGACCGGGCACGAGGCAGGTCAGCACGCGTCCTGGTGCGCCACATCTGCTTTCTTGCCTCCTCCTCCTGCTGCGTGAAAGTCTCAATGAGCTGTGCAACATGTGGGAGAAGAGAGAGCTCATCGCCATCACGGGCATAAGGCAGGCTGGGCACCTTCAAGCGCGTGGACCGGAGTGAGCGCCTGATTCGCGCCACCAGCAAAGCATCGTTCGTCCGGTGGGAAAGAACCTGAAGCCTCGCACGGAGTCGCAGCAAAAGGCGCAGGCCCTCCGACTTCACAAGCTGCTTGCCAGCCCGTCCCGCCGCACTGTGGGCGACAGGCTCCCAGGAAGACGCGCGAGGAACGCACTCTACAGAGCACGGCTCACACAGCAAAAGCTCGGCGGTGTTCGACAAGAAGCGCCAAGCCCCGTCCAAATCATTCTGTTCCAAGGCGCTCGCAAGAGGGCCAGCATCAATTTGAGCACATCTGGACTCCAAGTCAGAAGACTGGAGATCATCACGAGGCTTACATCGCTTAGGCCCAACCAAGGGGCAAGGAGCATCAAGGGCATACGAGTAGTGTACCCCCAAGTGGTCCGAAAAATCGCACGTAAAGTGATCCACAGAAACCGCAGGCAAGTCACGATGATTAACAGCAAAATCAATGCGACGAGAGCGCACTCCTTGGGCATTGACCGGGCCCGTGGCAGGAAGGGGCCGGCCACGCGCACATTCATCACCAGCAAGCACGGTGCCTTGCGAAATTAGCGATCCTAAGCGGCCTTGGGAAGGCTCAAGGTTGTAGTCGCCCAAAACCACAAACCTATAACCCGAGGCAACCGCACACGCCAAAACCTCATCCACTTGTGTCTGGGCAACTGGCTCGTTGCCGGCCTGGCCATAAAAGGCCACCACCAGGATGGTTTCATCAGTGGCACTCCGGGAGCTCGCAGGGAGCGAAGAATCATCCTCAGGGAGGGATCGCAAATTGAAGAGTCCCGCCACGTGCCTGGTGGAAGCAGGACCCTTACACAGCTGGACATGCCGAAAAGGAAAATCGCTGACCAAAGCAACCCGGCTGCCGAGATCCTCAGGAGCACTCAGAGCAACATGCCGGCCATGCGCTTTCCACTGGTTGCGATAGCCGATGCCAGCCGTTTCAGGAACATTGACCTCGGACAACGCCACAATCTGTGGGGGGCCTTGCCGAAGCAGAGCATCGAGCATCCCCACCGTCGACGTGCCACGCCGGTGAACATTCAAGCACGAAAGTCGAATCACACCGACGACATGGGGGCTCGCAAGGCCTTTTCAGCAGCAGCGAAGGCGAGCTCGCCTTGCTCTTTGCGAACAGAGGCAGGAGCAGCATCATGAAGCTTCTTATTGGCAGCAAGGGAGCGCAACCGAATCCACGCCCTCGCCTTAGCAGTGCGAGAAGGGCACTGTCCCTTGACCGACCGATGTTTCCTAGCGATCTCTGCAGAGGGGCACGGCGCTCGGCATTTGCGGCACACCCAAGCCGGGCATATGCGCAAGGGATACTTATCAACAGTATTGGTGTCCTTCCCAGCCTGGCGCGGCCACCCGAAGGCATCAAAGTCCTGAGCCTCCAGCTCGCGCAGCACCGGCAGGAGCTTAGCCTTCTGGGCATTGTTGCGAGTGACACTGATCTTTGAGGCCCATTTGGTGGCCGAGTGTGATTTCGCTTCCTTGTTCCACACAGCCCAAGAGACGCGCGGGTGGGCCTGTGTTTTATGCTCCCGGCGAAAGCGGCACAGAGAGTCCTTGCCAAAGCGGGCCGCATCAGCAGTAGAGATGCCTGCCTGGCACCGTTTGCATCTCCAGTACGCCCCCTCGCCATCAGCGAGGTCACGAACACAGGAAGCCTTGCGGGCAGGAGCGAGCCCAAGCTTCTCCCCCGGATGCGAATCCAAGAAGTGCCGCTGATAGGCCGCATAGGCCTTCACAGGATCAGCACACTTGCGGCGAAAGGGACAAAGCCTGCATTTAGCAACTCCATCAGGGAAGGCTCGGCCGCGATTACGACGGGCCATCACAAGGGCAGATTGAGGCAGGGCCCGGCTGGCATGATGCAACCGCTCAGGTTGCGGGGCATCATCATCGTCGCACTCCGGCAAGGCAGGCATTTGAGAATGCACGGAAGCACCAGAGGAGACGGCTCGGGACCAGACCGTCGCAGCAGCACCGCGAGCGCGCTTAAGAGAAGAAGCGGTCTTTCTGCTCGACGCGTTGGTGACAGTCCACACAGTGCCCGCCTTCACAGAGGATGATCGGCTGGCCTTGGATCGGTTTGATCGGGCGCAAGCAGTCCAAACAGTACCAGAGCACTGGGAAACATCATCCCCTCCAGCCCTCAGGTCAACGACAGCACCACTCGTAACGGAGAAAACCTCCTCTGGGTAGTCTTTAGCATCCTTAGCTGGCAAAAGAAGCTCGATGTGCCGAGGCGTGTACCATAACACCAGCCTCCTTTTGCGCTGCTGCGCATGAAACGACATCGCACTAAAATTCCCATCGCGTGGGATCACAAGGATGTGGCAATCAAATAAACGTCCGAGAGCCTTCAGCTCGATGGTAGAGGCGTATGCAGATTCCGAAGCAATTAACTTGAGGTATTCCTCAAAGGCGTCCTCCGGAGATGCGGCATTTTCGCGCAATTTTTGTAGAGCCGGCCCGTGGCCGTCCCATTCCCCTATATATTGCGAAGCATATTTTCGTAAGTGCTCTACACAGCGCGCCCTCAAGTCCCTGTGGGAGTGCTCAGTTTTCTTAGGGCCCGAAAGCCAGTGGAGGCCACGCGCTATGGCGTGAAACAAACAGGCTCCGTCTTTCGGAGTCTCAATGAGATCACACCCCGAGGGGATTTGCCGATGCGAAGCCGCAACATGTTTGGCAGGGGACACCTCCTTACCGTCATCATCCAGTTCAGCGGGGACCTGAATTTTAACGGATTGGGGCTCCAATGCAGGCTTCTCCTTGGCAAGACAGGGAGTCGGCGCACATCGCAGAGGTCGCTGCTTAGCTTGCTTAGGCTTATAGGGTGCAACCGTAGCCCACAGCGTGATTTCATTGTCCTTCCCCGGCTCGCTCTCGACGATAGCACTCAAAGGAACCAGATCAAGATCGCCGTGTTTAAGCGTAGCTCTGAAGCGATACAAGTACTCAGCGCCAGTGCGCTTATGCTGAATCAAAGCCACATCCTTGAAGGATTGGTCCAGCACCTGCAGCACTTCCTTCTGTCCCCAGCTAGCCGGCACATGAGGGAAATTCCAAACACGCGGGACAGCCTGTGAGGGATCCCTAGGCCCTAGGCGATCTGGCGCCAATGCGTCCGCCCTGGGTGGCAAGGCCATAAGGAGCACTCATACGGAGGCCGCGTTCAAGGTACGCAGTCGGAGCTTCCCCCTTGGTAACAGCAAGCCACTGCACAGTGGAGACAAGCTTGCCGCGCGGCACATCAACAAAAACTCCATCCCGGCCACTGACAGCAACGAGAGAAGACAACTCGGAGTCCAGGAGGCGAGCAATGCCAAACAACTGCAGTCCTTGCTTGCCAGCCTGCTGCTCCTCGACCCAACCCCACGTGTCACTCAAAGTGATTTGGTGAGAGCTTGCCCAAGAAGAAGCAGCACGACTCGGGTTGTTCTTCCAATGCTTGAATTTATCAGGCGTCATGTACATCTCAGGCACCTTAAAGTAGACGACCGAAGTGGACGCAGGAACAACTTTAATGGCCTTGGCCTTGTGCCCCGCAAAGCAAGGGACACCACCATCAGCAGGGTCAGATTTGCAATGTGCAATCGAGGCTCGTCGAAAACGTAGGAGATCACCCACACTTCCCGGGACCTTGTGAGGACCATTCGCGTCCAAGGTAACAAGGGTGATTTTATGGGATTTGCTGGTGCCTGCAAGCATGGTGCGAATTCTCGGCAGCGCCGAGGGCTCAACAAGAATGACAGCTTCCAGAGTAGAACCCGGTTTAAGTTCGTCCAATGCTTTGGCAATGCCATCCTGCGACAACAACTGCGCGCTCCAATCCTGCCTTCGGAGCTGGAAGGGGCCCTGCGGGGGAGCACGCTGAACCTTGGTCCAGCCCTCAGCATCACGAGGAGGCCGGTCGCCCTGCCCTTTGCCCTTAGGTCCAGACTTGGGTGGGGCCGCCTCTGCACTGCCTTTAGCAGCACCCTTGGCCGAGCCCTTTGCAGCAACAGGCTGACCACCTCTGCCACCAGCTGCTTTGCCCTCGCCCGGCTCACGAGACGAAGGATGACGGCTCGACTCATGGTTTTTTCGCTTGTTGCTGGGGTTAGGGTCAGGCTTATGGCGCTTGGGCCCTCGCTCCAAGTCCGGCTCCTGCAGCACAACACGGGGAGGGGTTGCCGGGGCACCTCCCATTGCATTTGCAATGGCTTCCTGCACAGCTTTCTGAATGAGCGCAGTGATCATGGGCATAAGCTGTTCCGTGATGCTGGCCATCATGCCCTCAAACGGGTTGCCGCCTCCAAACCTTAGGCCAATGGGACCCGAGCAGCCCTCAGACAAGCAGGAGCGCAAGATAGCAGCAGAGTCCAGGTCCTGACCCGAGATCCCTTGCACTTGCCCGTCACCACCCTGCCTCGGAAGAGGCTGCCCATCAGCAGGCCGCAGTCCACAATCGCAGTTGTGCATCGCACCAGAGCATACCTCGCACACACGTGTTGGAAGCAGGCTGCTCGGGGCCAAATGGGATATACTCGGACCTTTCGGCCTACCTTGACCCACTGACCCCTGCAACTGCACACAGACAGGCGGGCTTCTCGGATCAAGCATGTCAGCATGGCACCCGCAACACAGACAGCAAGGCGTCAAACAAACAGGGGCCACGCGGGATATACTCGGACCTTTCGGCCTGTCTTGACCCAGTGGCCCCTGCACATCAGAAGCTACAGGCTCACTCTGAGGCAAGACCGCACATGTCGGCACAGCATCTCGCCCTCTCAGGGGCTTGCAAGTGCACTCGGGTACTCCTAAAGGCACAGGAGGGTGTCTAAACCGAAGGGGCGAAGGGAAACCCTGTTGAAGGCAATCACCACCACACTCAGCACGGTCCTGGGACTGCTCGACGAGACCACAGTCCCCTCGACCCACGGATGCATTACACGCCGACGGCGGCCTGTATTGGGAAGGCCCCCGGAGCCCTGGGTCAGCGACCCCACCTCCTCCTGACAAAAACTCCAAATCCGGATTGCACCCACCGCCTGGGCTCCGGGGGCACGCTCTATTAGGCATCACAAGATCACCCCGATCAGCTGTTGCAGCAGCCTGGACATCAGGCACCCAAGAGGGCAACGGCCTAAACCCTAGGGGAGAAAGTGGAGCTTGGGCAGTGCAGCAATGGGGCAGCGCATCGCCCCCAAAAGAAGACACGGGAACCCCTAAGGGGGAGGACCTAAACCCTAGGGGGGCAGAGGAACCACGGCACGGGCAGCAGCCCCAGGAAGAAGCATCGTCGGCCCCAGTGTCCTTGCCCTGCGCGATGAAGAACTGGCCGCCACCGTCGCCAGCCGCCAGCGAGCCCAGGCCATGGCAGCAGCACTGCGAGGAGGGAGAACAGGGGGGCTCCGGGGAGCCATGTCTACCACTAGAACTAGTAGCAGGCACCAGAGGCCCGGTATCAGTCTCACTCTTAGCCCTTTCGCGGGTCTTGATAGTGCTGAGCTCCCACAGAATACTAAGAACACGGCCATAAAGGCTCTTCGTCCTACGGTCAGGCTCGCACTCACCATCACAATCGGCACTAGTTAGGCCTCTCAGGCTCTTTGCCCTTTCGCGGGTCTTGTTGATTTCTTGACACACACAATCATCACTGGCTAGGCCTCTAAGGCTCTTTGCCCTTTCACGGGTCTTGTTGATTTCTTGAATGTCACACACAGGGCTCTCAGCAGCGCAAGGCGACGTCCCACACAGCCCAGCACCAAGGTCCAGACCAGCCGCTGAGGGAAGAAGCTGCTGCTGCGGCGCGTAGTAAAGAAATTCCTCGGAGAAAGTGTCCTCAATCAAGTGAAGCCCAAATGCTGCACTTGCCTGCGGCACGTAGTAAAGAAACTCCTCAGAGAAAGTGTCCTCAATCATGTGAAGCCAAAAAGTTGCACTTGCCTGCGTGTCGGAAGCATGCGCACAAGGCTCACTCGCCAAAGGTAGCCCCTGAGCAGGGCATTCATCCCCAGCAATCCCGTGATCCATCCCCGAGGACCAAGAGGTTGCAGCAGCAAGCGGGTTGCCGCTCACACACGTGCCATCAGAGCACTCCATCTCCGAAGCCCCTAGTCGGAGCCCCCAAGGCCCAACTGCACTCCACACCATGGTTCTCGGCACACCACGTTGAGCCAAGAAATCAAAATCCTTCTGGAACAGCTGAAGCTGAAAATCACGTGCTCGAACAATGAAAGCGCTCAGCATCTGCAGGCGCTGAGCCACCCTCGGTTGCGCATCTCGGTCATTGCCAGACGCTTTGCCCCAGCTGCCGAAACAGCTCTTTTCTTTCCCAATCACTTCTTTTCCCGACAAAGAAGCACCATCACTCAAAGCACAATTCATTCGCTTCAAAGATCGCCATAAGTGTAGGTAGAACCCACAATCAAGGCCTCCAGAAGAAGGAGCCATGGCCCGAAGGCACGTGTGGGAAGTGTCAGCCCTGCACTCGGGAAAGTACAGGTTAACCAGCTCAAGGCACGCGGAGCCCCTCCCCACTTGAGCCCGAAACTCCAGAATTTCCGGTGGTCTGGGGGCTGAGCGACTTCGAGAAGACCGCTCAGCTGCTGTCCGAGGTCCTCGCGGGTCGGGTGAAACATCCCGCAACATGCTGAGTCATCTAGGAGAGTGCGAAGCTGTGCAGCACAAGTCCCGAGCGATGATCATCAGCGACACTATTAACAAAAGACGAGGCAACATTGAGAGCCTTCGCCACACGTTGAATGGGAGGGAAGTCAGGAAGCCGCAGTCCGTCTGACATGTACCTCCTCTTGTGAAAAGCATCGAATTGGATGTATCAGATTAGCTACGCAATCACATCCGGAAACATTCCGAGCAGCAACTAACGGTTCGGAAAGAAGCTCGAAACAACAAGGCCTGAGCAGCAAAGCTACGGATCAGGTCAAAAGCTCGGAGCAGCAGAGCTACAAATCCGAGAAGAACTCAAAACTACACGGGAGGCTCTCACGTCACTTCAGAAGGCGTCGTCGGTGGAGCTCAGAGGACCTCGCTTCCGCAGCCCACAGCAGCCGCCCTTGTAGTAGACGACGAAGAGGAGGAAGGGTGAGCCAGCAGCCCAAACCAGCAGCAGCAGCGCCAGACCAGAGAGGCAGAGCAGTGCCGCTCTCGGTTTACGCCAAGAGCACAGCCAGTCCACACAGGAACCCCTAGGGAAGGGGACAGGGCCTAAACCCGAACAACCCAAAAGGGAACAAGGGCCGTCAAGAAAGGATGCCACGTGAAAGTCAAGAAAGCGTGAGGCATCACGCGCACGCGAAAGGTGTTAAATGCGAAAACACCCAGGCCATCATCAGCAGCCCAAGTAGAGCATAAACGCATTCGGCGAGAGGCCAAAGCGCACCTCATTGCACACAGGGCTCCTAAGGGGAGGGAAGGGCCTAAACCCGAAAAACCCAAAAGGAGAGGACCAGCCTAAAGAAACGAGCCCACACCAGCAGCAGCAGTGCCAGGCAGGAGCCAGGCAAGCAGCGCTCGGAGTGGTTCGAAGCACGCACCCGGTAGAAGCGGATGGGCCATAGCAAGGTCAGCAAAAGATTGTTACAAGAAACATCCCAGAATCAGGGACTCCCGCCGGCAGCAGCATCGCCACACAAGGAAGCATTGCCGCGCTCAGCAGAAGGGCCTGAGCTCACGCAAGATGCACAAGAGTACCCCGAGGGGAGAGGGGCCTAAACCCAAGAAACCCAAAGGGGAGGCAAGGGCATCGCGGAGCCACGGAGGCCTGGGAAAGCGAGCTCCACACAATAGCAGCAGCACCACGCAACAAGCGAGGCCGCGCTCATGCATAGAGGAGTTTACGCCAGGTGCACACCGGAACCTCTAGGGGAGAGAAGGGGCCTAAACCCGAGCAAACCCGAAGGGGAGAGGGCAGGGAGTGAAAGTTCGTTCCGCCCGGCACATGAAAGCACAAGCTGCACACACACGAAAGACATACCAAGGGCAATCAAAGAATTGAGGAGCCAAAGGTAAGTAGTCATAGAGCATTCTGGTGCGGCCAAACTAGTCAAGGCCCAGCCCCTGCGGGCTCAGCATCATCAAGGGGAACACTTTTCACATGTTTGTCCAGCTTCTCGGCAGCAGCTGCCGCAAGTCTGACGGTAGCCAGCTCCCAATCCCGAGCCTGCTCACACTGTTGATGCCATCGCTCCCGGAGAGAGCCCAAGAGCCTGTTTTGCATGCAATTGCCCGCCGCCTGATCTGCAGCATGGTTAAAGGCGCGGAGCACATCCGCATCGTGATCCGGCGAAGGCCGCCAGCGGGGGTGCTTATTGTGTGACGGCACCCAAATCAAGGAGATAGCACAGCCGCGCCTCACCAGTTCCTTCCAGAGACGGCGCGCGTCCCTCAGCAAGAGGCCCAACTTAAAGGGATCATCACCATGGCCCGAGATGGCCGTCAGGGCAGCTTTGCAGTCGGTCAAGATGAAAATGCACGTCTCGCAGCCCTCACTCCACACCCGGTGGACCGAAGCAAAGGCCGCGTGGAGGGCCAGAACTTCCTGCCGATACGGGGATTGATCCTCTGCCCCAGTGCCCATGGCATAGACACAAGACGGATCGCCGATCACCACCGCATAAGCACCGACAGATCGATGGCTGGAGCCATCAGTAGCCGCATAAATCCTGCTCCTGCCAGAGCCGAGGGCAGCACGGAAAGCAGCATCCAAGTCCGCCCGAAAAGCCCCACAGTCAGAGGCGGCAGGCGCCGGAGGTTTCAAGGGAGTCGACTTGGCAAACATGCGCTCCTCCGCCCGATTCGTCGGAGGGGGGTGATCCCGCCGGAGCGCCTCGGTGCACTCGCAAACCCAGGTCACATGCGGTCGCGACGGAGCAGTCGCTCCGCAGAGGCACTGCATGCGCCTATGCTGCTCGTTCAAACCCTGCCCGGCCGTAAAGAACCAGCACGAGCCTCCCGTGACAGCAGCAGCCCGTCTCATATAAGGAGTGGTCGCCTCATGCATGGCAACGCGGTGCCCACGAAAGCTGAAGCGCGCATCCCGCGACGGAGGTGCCAGATCCAGGCCGCGTGCAAGGCTCGGGTCCGGCCTATGAAAGCTCCGCCAGACGCGCTGGCATCTCTGCATGTAAAGGTGCCGGTAATGGTCAAACAGCCAGCCCTTAACCTCAGCAAAGCTCTCCCATCCGACCTGCACCTCACGAGAGATCCCTAAGTCATCACGGCAGGCGAAAAAGAAGCCATCAGGCGTTCAACAACGCTCCACCCCAATTTGCGAAGGAGGCCAGGCGCAGCAGGCAACAGCTGATCCCAGCGCTGGCCCCGGGCATCACGCGGCTGCTCCAGAGCAAAGGCCGGAGGCTTGCAGAGGAGGCGCCAGGCCTCGCGGAGCACAGCAGAGTCAGCAGCGCACTGTGGCTCCAGCATCCACCCCACATGTTCGAAGATCAGGACACGCGGGGCTTCAAAGGAAAATTGACAGTCAAAAACACGAATCGCAGCATCTCTAACTTGCTTCATCTCGCCTGCCAGTGGCGTGGCATAGGCAGCGGCCCACACCAAGCACGGGTAAACAAGTGATTTCAGCATGAGGGCCCGCAGTCGACTGCAAGCGGTCACCCAGCGCAAAAGGTCCATGCGCAGCAAAGCTTTTCTCAAGGAAAATTTCAGCAAGCCCCATTCATCATTAAAGGAAACAGTGACACCTAAGACTTCAAGGGTTTGCGAAAACTGATAGTTGAATCGGGCAGCCAGAGCAGAGGCCTCGACATGACCCTCCGGCGCCACGATCGCACACTTTGGCAGGGAAATTTCAAGACCACAAGTGGCATCGAATCGGTCGGAGCGCCGAATCGCATGCTCCAGGTCGCCAAGATCCGCAGAGAAAGTCCAGAAGGACCGGTCGTCCAGGTAGACCAGGCCTGAAACCCCTTGCCTCAACACAGCCAAGGTCCAAAGGTGGCTAAATGCGGCAGCAAGGGTGGGACTTAAGGGACAACCCTGAGCTATACCCAAGCGGGGCTTAAACCAGGCATCACTGTATGCACCATCAAGTTGGACGATGCGCGAAGCTCGCGTGTAAAAGGCCTTCAGCAGCGGCCAAAGAAAAGGCGGCGCTTTCAAATGAGAAAGGAGGACCTCTAGGGCTTCAAACTGGATGGCATCAAAGAACCCCGCAATGTCCTGTTGAACCGCAACGTTAGCGCCACCGCGCATTGCAGCATTCAGCTGAAGCAGGGCACCCGACACCGACGTGCCCGGGATGCCACCGGCATCCGACGGAGAGCTCCAAGAACCTATCCAGTCGGAGAGTTGGGCATTCAAAATCCTTGCTCCCGCACGCCAGACAGCTTGAGAGATGGTTAACGGCCTGAAGCCCCCCTTGATTTTCTTAATCATCACCACACGTGCCTGTGCCCACTGGGCGGGGACGTCACAACAAGCAAGGCACCGATTCCACAGCTGGGAGGTCCACACCCACCAAAGATCAGGCATGGAACATAGCAGTCCAGGTTTCCACGCATCCGGCCCGGCAGCACGGTGCCTCATGGACTGCATTGAGCGTCGGAGAGCCTCTGGCGTGATGTTAGGCACGACCTCCGAGCTTGCGGGGCGCGGCAGGGGCCGCAACAGATCACGCATGGCCTGCATGTCAACCGCCCTAAAGGACGCGGGACAGAGCTTCGCCCGCAGGTCCTTTGCCACAGCTGCAACCGCGACCGCCGGATGTGCAGGGTCGCCCGGACTGGCAACATCCGGAAGCTGACGCTCCCAAGCAAGCTGCTCATCAGCGCGCCGCTTCACAAAAGACCGGGCACGAGGCAGGTCAGCACGCGTCCTGGTGCGCCACATCTGCTTTCTTGCCTCCTCCTCCTGCTGCATGAAAGTCTCAATGAGCTGTGCAACATGTGGGAGAAGAGAGAGCTCATCGCCATCACGGGCATAAGGCAGGCTGGGCACCTTCAAGCGCGTGGACCGGAGTGAGCGCCTGATTCGCGCCACCAGCAAAGCATCGTTCGTCCGGTGGGAAAGAACCTGAAGCCTCGCACGGAGTCGCAGCAAAAGGCGCAGGCCCTCCGACTTCACAAGCTGCTTGCCAGCCCGTCCCGCCGCACTGTGGGCGACAGGCTCCCAGGAAGACGCGCGAGGAACGCACTCTGCAGAGCACGGCTCACACAGCAGAAGCTCGGCGGTGTCCGACAAGAAGCGCCAAGCCCCGTCCAAATCATTCTGTTCCAAGGCGCTCGCAAAGGGTCCAGCATCAATTTGAGCACATCTGGACTCCAAGTCAGAAGACTGGAGATCATCACGAGGCTTACATCGCTGGGGCCCAACCAAGGGACAAGGAGCATCAAGGGCATACGAGTAGTGTACCCCCAAGTGGTCCGAAAAATCGCACGTAAAGTGATCCACAGAAACCGCAGGCAAGTCACGATGATTAACAGCAAAATCAATGCGACGAGAGCGCACTCCTTGGGCATTGACCGGGCCCGTGGCAGGAAGGGGCCGGCCACGCGCACATTCATCACCAGCAAGCACGGTGCCTTGCGAAATTAGCGATCCTAAGCGGCCTTGGGAAGGCTCAAGGTTGTAGTCGCCCAAAACCACAAACCTATAACCCGAGGCAACCGCACACTCCAAAACCTCATCCACTTGTGTCTGGGCAACTGGCTCGTTGCCGGCCTGGCCATAAAAGGCCACCACCAGGATGGTTTCATCAGTGGCACTCCGGGAGCTCGCAGGGAGCGAAGAATCATCCTCAGGGAGGGATCGCAAATTGAAGAGTCCCGCCACGTGCCTGGTGGAAGCAGGACCCTTACACAGCTGGACATGCCGAAAAGGAAAATCGCTGACCAAAGCAACCCGGCTGCCGAGATCCTCAGGAGCACTCAGAGCAACATGCCGGCCATGCGCTTTCCACTGGTTGCGATAGCCGATGCCAGCCGTTTCAGGAACATTGACCTCGGACAACGCCACAATCTGTGGGGGGCCTTGCCGAAGCAGAGCATCGAGCATCCCCACCGTCGACGTGCCACGCCGGTGAACATTCAAGCACGAAAGTCGAATCACACCGACGACATGGGGGCTCGCAAGGCCTTTTCAGCAGCAGCGAAGGCGAGCTCACCTTGCTCTTTGCGAACAGAGGCAGGAGCAGCATCATGAAGCTTCTTATTGGCAGCAAGGGAGCGCAACCGAATCCACGCCCTCGCCTTAGCAGTGCGAGAAGGGCACTGTCCCTTGACCGACCGATGTTTCCTAGCGATCTCTGCAGAGGGGCACGGCGCTCGGCATTTGCGGCACACCCAAGCCGGGCATATGCGCAAGGGATACTTATCAACAGTATTGGTGTCCTTCCCAGCCTGGCGCGGCCACCCGAAGGCATCAAAGTCCTGAGCCTCCAGCTCGCGCAGCACCGGCAGGAGCTTAGCCTTCTGGGCATTGTTGCGAGTGACACTGATCTTTGAGGCCCATTTGGTGGCCGAGTGTGATTTCGCTTCCTTGTTCCACACAGCCCAAGAGACGCGCGGGTGGGCCTGTGTTTTATGCTCCCGGCGAAAGCGGCACAGAGAGTCCTTGCCAAAACGGGCCGCATCAGCAGTAGAGATGCCTGCCTGGCACCGTTTGCATCTCCAGTACGCCCCCTCGCCATCAGCGAGGTCACGAACACAGGAAGCCTTGCGGGCAGGAGCGAGCCCAAGCTTCTCCCCCGGATGCGAATCCAAGAAGTGCCGCTGATAGGCCGCATAGGCCTTCACAGGATCAGCACACTTGCGGCGAAAGGGACAAAGCCTGCATTTAGCAACTCCATCAGGGAAGGCTCGGCCGCGATTACGACGGGCCATCACAAGGGCAGATTGAGGCAGGGCCCGGCTGGCATGATGCAACCGCTCAGGTTGCGGGGCATCATCATCGTCGCACTCCGGCAAGGCAGGCATTTGAGAATGCACGGAAGCACCAGAGGAGACGGCTCGGGACCAGACCGTCGCAGCAGCACCGCGAGCGCGCTTAAGAGAAGAAGCGGTCTTTCTGCTCGACGCGTTGGTGACAGTCCACACAGTGCCCGCCTTCACAGAGGATGATCGGCTGGCCTTGGATCGGTTTGATCGGGCGCAAGCAGTCCAAACAGTACCAGAGCACTGGGAAGCATCATCCCCTCCAGCCCTCAGGTCAACGACAGCACCACTCGTAACGGAGAAAACCTCCTCTGGGTAGTCTTTAGCATCCTTAGCTGGCAAAAGAAGCTCGATGTGCCGAGGCGTGTACCATAACACCAGCCTCCTTTTGCGCTGCTGCGCATGAAACGACATCGCACTAAAATTCCCATCGCGTGGGATCACAAGGATGTGGCAATCAAATAAACGTCCGAGAGCCTTCAGCTCGATGGTAGAGGCGTATGCAGATTCCGAAGCAATTAACTTGAGGTATTCCTCAAAGGCGTCCTCCGGAGATGCGGCATTTTCGCGCAATTTTTGTAGAGCCGGCCCGTGGCCGTCCCATTCCCCTATATATTGCGAAGCAAATTTTCGTAAGTGCTCTACACAGCGCGCCCTCAAGTCCCTGTGGGAGTGCTCGGTTTTCTTAGGGCCCGAAAGCCAGTGGAGGCCACGCGCTATGGCGTGAAACAAACAGGCTCCGTCTTTCGGAGTCTCAATGAGATCACACCCCGAGGGGATTTGCCGATGCGAAGCCGCAACATGTTTGGCAGGGGACACCTCCTTACCGTCATCATCCAGTTCAGCGGGGACCTGAATTTTAACGGATTGGGGCTCCAATGCAGGCTTCTCCTTGGCAAGACAGGGAGTCGGCGCACATCGCAGAGGTCGCTGCTTAGCTTGCTTAGGCTTATAGGGTGCAACCGTAGCCCACAGCGTGATTTCATTGTCCTTCCCCGGCTCGCTCTCGACGATAGCACTCAAAGGAACCAGATCAAGATCGCCGTGTTTAAGCGTAGCTCTGAAGCGATACAAGTACTCAGCGCCAGTGCGCTTATGCTGAATCAAAGCCACATCCTTGAAGGATTGGTCCAGCACCTGCAGCACTTCCTTCTGTCCCCAGCTAGCCGGCACATGAGGGAAATTCCAAACACGCGGGACAGCCTGTGAGGGATCCCTAGGCGATCTGGCGCCAATGCGTCCGCCCTGGGTGGCAAGGCCATAAGGAGCACTCATGCGGAGGCCGCGTTCAAGGTACGCAGTCGGAGCTTCCCCCTTGGTAACAGCAAGCCACTGCACAGTGGAGACAAGCTTGCCGCGCGGCACATCAACAAAAACTCCATCCCGGCCACTGACAGCAACGAGAGAAGACAACTCGGAGTCCAGGAGGCGAGCAATGCCAAACAACTGCAGTCCTTGCTTGCCAGCCTGCTGCTCCTCGACCCAACCCCACGTGTCACTCAAAGTGATTTGGTGAGAGCTTGCCCAAGAAGAAGCAGCACGACTCGGGTTGTTCTTCCAATGCTTGAATTTATCAGGCGTCATGTACATCTCAGGCACCTTAAAGTAGACGACCGAAGTGGACGCAGGAACAACTTTAATGGCCTTGGCCTTGTGCCCCGCAAAGCAAGGGACACCACCATCAGCAGGGTCAGATTTGCAATGTGCAATCGAGGCTCGTCGAAAACGTAGGAGATCACCCACACTTCCCGGGACCTTGTGAGGACCATTCGCGTCCAAGGTAACAAGGGTGATTTTATGGGATTTGCTGGTGCCTGCAAGCATGGTGCGAATTCTCGGCAGCGCCGAGGGCTCAACAAGAATGACAGCTTCCAGAGTAGAACCCGGTTTAAGTTCGTCCAATGCTTTGGCAATGCCATCCTGCGACAACAACTGCGCGCTCCAATCCTGCCTTCGGAGCTGGAAGGGGCCCTGCGGGGGAGCACGCTGAACCTTGGTCCAGCCCTCAGCATCACGAGGAGGCCGGTCGCCCTGCCCTTTGCCCTTAGGTCCAGACTTGGGTGGGGCCGCCTCTGCACTGCCTTTAGCAGCACCCTTGGCCGAGCCCTTTGCAGCAGCAGGCTGACCACCTCTGCCACCAGCTGCTTTGCCCTCGCCCGGCTCACGAGACGAAGGATGACGGCTCGACTCATGGTTTTTTCGCTTGTTGCTGGGGTTAGGGTCAGGCTTATGGCGCTTGGGCCCTCGCTCCAAGTCCGGCTCCTGCAGCACAACACGGGGAGGGGTTGCCGGGGCACCTCCCATTGCATTTGCAATGGCTTCCTGCACAGCTTTCTGAATGAGCGCAGTGATCATGGGCATAAGCTGTTCCGTGATGCTGGCCATCATGCCCTCAAACGGGTTGCCGCCTCCAAACCTTAGGCCAGTGGGACCCGAGCAGCCCTCAGACAAGCAGGAGCGCAAGATAGCAGCAGAGTCCAGGTCCTGACCCGAGATCCCTTGCACTTGCCCGTCACCACCCTGCCTCGGAAGAGGCTGCCCATCAGCAGGCCGCAGTCCACAATCGCAGTTGTGCATCGCACCAGAGCATACCTCGCACACACGTGTTGGAAGCAGGCTGCTCGGGGCCAAATGGGATATACTCGGACCTTTCGGCCTACCTTGACCCACTGACCCCTGCAACTGCACACAGACAGGCGGGCTTCTCGGATCAAGCATGTCAGCATGGTACCCGCAACACAGACAGCAAGGCGTCAAACAACCACGGGCCACGCGGGATATACTCGGACCTTTCGGCCTGTCTTGACCCAGTGGCCCCTGCACATCAGAAGCTACAGGCTCACTCTGAGGCAAGACCGCACATGTCGGCACAGCATCTCGCCCTCTCAGGGGCTTGCAAGTGCACTCGGGTACTCCTAAAGGCACAGGAGGGTGTCTAAACCGAAGGGGCGAAGGGAAACCCTGTTGAAGGCAATCACCACCACACTCAGCACGGTCCTGGGACTGCTCGACGAGACCACAGTCCCCTCGACCAACGGATGCATTACACGCCGACGGCGGCCTGTATTGGGAAGGCCCCCGGAGCCCTGGGTCAGCGACCCCACCTCCTCCTGACAAAAACTCCAAATCCGGATTGCACCCACCGCCTGGGCTCCGGGGGCACGCTCTATTAGGCATCACAAGATCACCCCGATCAGCTGTTGCAGTAGCCTGGACATCAGACACCCAAGAGGGCAACGGCCTAAACCCTAGGGGAGAAAGTGGAGCTTGGGCAGTGCAGCAATGGGGCAGCGCATCGCCCCCAAAAGAAGACACGGGAACCCCCAAGGGGGAGGACCTAAACCCTAGGGGTGCAGAGGAACCACGGCACGGGCAGCAGCCCCAGGAAGAAGCATCGTCGGCCCCAGTGTCCTTGCCCTGCGCGATGAAGAACTGGCCGCCACCGTCGCCAGCCGCCAGCAAGCCCAGGCCATGGCAGCAGCACTGCGAGGAGGGAGAACAGGGGGGCTCCGGGGAGCCATGTCTACCACTAGAACTAGTAGCAGGCACCAGAGGCCCGGTATCAGTCTCACTCTTTGCCCTTTCGCGGGTCTTGATAGTGCTGAGCTCCCACAGAACACTAAGAACACGGCCATAAAGGCTCATCGTCCTACGGTCAGGCTCGCACTCACCATCACAATCGGCACTAGTTAGGCCTCTCAGGCTCTTTGCCCTTTCGCGGGTCTTGTTGATTTCTTGACACACACAATCATCACTAGATAGGCCTCTAAGGCTCTTTGCCCTTTCACGGGTCTTGTTGATTTCTTGAATGTCACACACAGGGTTCTCAGCAGCGCAAGTCGACGTCCCACATGGCCCAGCACCAAGGTCCAGACCAGATGCTGAGGGAAGAAGCTGCTGCTGCGGCGCGTAGTAAAGAAATTCCTCAGAGAAAGTGTCCTCAATCAAGTGGAGCCCAAATGCTGCACTTGCCTGCGGCACGTAGTAAAGAAACTCCTCAGAGAAAGTGTCCTCAATCATGTGAAGCCCAAATGTTGCACTTGCCTGCGTGTCAGAAGCATGCACACAAAGCTCACTCGCCAAAGGGAGCCCCTGAGCAGGGCAGTCATCCCCAGCAATAGC